TGGGAAGCGAGCCCTGAATTCTTTGGAAATTAAACCTCAATTCTTTGGGAATTAAACCTCGAATCTTTGGGAATTAAACCCCAATTCTTTGGGAATTAAACCTCGATTCTTTGGGAATTAAACCCTGATTTCTTTGGGAATTAAACCCCAATTCTTTGGGAATTAAACCCCAATTCTTTGGGAATTAAACCCCAATTCTTTGGGAATTAAACCCTGATTCCTTGGGAATTAAACCCTGATTTCCCTGGGAATTAAACCTCAATTCTTTGGGAATTAAACCCTGATTTCCTTGGGAATTAAACCTCAATTCTTTGGGAATTAAACCCTGATCCCCTTGGGAATTAAACCCTGATCCCCTTGGGAATTAAACCCCGATCCTTTGGGAATTAAACCCCAATTCTTTGGGAATTAAACCTCGATCCCTTGGGAATTAAACCCTGATCCCTTGGGAATTAAACCCTGATTTCTTTAGGAATTAAACCCTGATCCCCTTGGGAATTAAACCCCGATCCTTTGGGAATTAAACTGGGAATTGTGGGGATCCCAGGAATTGGGGAATCCCAGAAATTGTGAATCCCAGGAATTGGGAGGAATCCTGGAAATGGGGGGATCCAGGGAATTGGGGGGATCCCGGGAATCGGGGGATAACAGGAATGGGGGGTTCCCGGGAATTGGGGATCCCGGGAATGGGGGAATCCCAGAAATGGGGGAATCCCGGGAATCGGGGGGATCCCAGGAATGGGGGATCCCAGGAATCGGGGGGATCCCAGGAATTGGGGATCCCGGGAATTGGGGGGGATCCCGGGAATCGGGGAGATCCCAGGAATGGGGGGGGTTCCTGGGAATTGGGGATCCCAGGAATTGTGAATCCCGGGAATCGGGGGGATCCCAGGAATTGGGGGGTAACAGGAATGGGGGGGTTCCGGGAATTGGGGATCCCAGGAATCGAGGGGATCCCAGGAATCGGGGGGATCCCGGGAATGGGGGATCCCAGGAATCCCGGGAATACCGGCAGGGGTAGACGCGTTTGATGCCCTCGTGGTTGACGCGGACGTGGCGGCGCAGGCTGGGCGCGGAGCAGAAGGAGCGCTCGCACAGGTGGCACGGGAACTTCTTCACCGACTGCGGGAACACCCAGCGGAAATCCCGGGAAATCCCTCGGGAAAACCCACGGGAAAACCCCGGGAAATCCCCAGAAACATCCCCAGGAAAATCCCCAAAACAGCCCAGGAAAATACCAACAAATCCCAGATGAAAACCCTGGAAAATCCCAGATAAAAACCCCAGAAAATCCCCAGGAAAATCCCAAACAAATTCCCAGGAAAGCCCCACAAACATCCCAGGAAAACCCTGGAAAATCCCCAGGAAAATCCCAAACAAATTCCCAGGAAAGCCCCACAAACATTCCAGGAAAACCCTGGAAAATCCCAGAGAAATCCTCAGGAATATCCCCAGGAATATCCCAAACAAAATCCCAGGAAAACCCCAGAAAATCCCTGGGAAAACCCCAGGAAATCCCAGGAAAACCCCAGAAAAATCCCAGAGAAATCCTCAGGGAAACGCCAGAACACACCACGGGAAAATCCCAGGAAAATCCCGGGAAAATCCCGGGAATATCCCAGAAAATCCGGGAAAAATCCCGGGAATATCCCAGAAAATCCGGGAAAAATCCCTGAGAAAATTCCGGAAAATCCCGGAGAGATCCCGGAAAAACCCCGGATCATCCACGAGCCGAGATTCCCGCCCCAGCCAGAGCCAGGAACTCCAATCTCCCCGCCCCAACCCCCATTCCCGAGGGGTTTCCCGGCCGGAATTCCCGGGAATTCCCGCGATTCCCACCTTTCCGTGCTCCCTCTTCATGTGCGCCACGTACTCGTCGCGCTCGGGGAACCACGAGTGGCAAACGCCGCAGGTCCAGCCGCTGCCCTTGGATTTATTCCCGGATTTCCGCTGGAATCGGCTCCGTTTGCTCTTCCGCAGCTCCGGGGAGCTCGGGGGCTCCTCCTCCTCCGTGGAGCTCGAGGATTCCTCGGAATTCTTGGCCACCGGAGCTTCCAGAGGCTCCGGTTTGGGCGTCAGCAGAGCCGGGGATTTCTTGGAGGAGTCGTCCTTGGATTTCTGGGCTTGGTGGGAGTTCTGGGAAGGGGAAATCGGGAATGGCGGAGGGGATCCGTGGGGAATCGGGATCTGGGATTTATCCCGGAAATCCCGAGGAGAGCGGGAAAGGGAATCCTGGAATGGTTTGGGATGGAAAAGGTCCTTAAATCCCATCCGATCCCGCCCCATTCCCACGGAAATTCCAGGTGGATCCAGGGGTGGGGAATCCATGGAAAAATCTGGGCTGGGATCTGGGATTTATCCCAGAAATCCCAAAGAAACCAAAACAGGGAATGCTGGAATGGTTTGGGATGGAAAAGATCCTTAAAAATCCCGGGCTGGGGACATTCCCAGCGTGCCGGGGAGCTCCAGGGATGGGGAATCCATGGAAAAATCTGGGCTGGGATCCGGGATTTATCCCAGAAATCCCAAAGAAACCAAAACAGGGAATCCTGGAATGGTTTGGGATGGAAAAGATCCTTAAATCCCATCCGATCCTGGCCCATTCCCATGGAAATTCCAGGTGGATCCAGGGGTGGGGAATCCATGGAAAAATCTGGGCCGGGATCCGGGATTTATCCCAAAAATCCCAAAGAAACCAGCCCAGGGAATGCTGGAATGGTTTGGGATGGAAAAGATCCCAAAGATCCTTAAAAATCCCGGGCTGGGGACATTCCCAGCGTGCCAGGGAGCTCCAGGGATGGGGAATTCATGGAAAATCTCCGGCAGGATCCAGGATTTATCCCAGAAATCCCAAAGAAACCAGCCCAGGGAATCCTGGAATGGTTTGGGATGGAAAAGATCCTTAAATCCCATCCAACCCCACCCCAATCCCGCGGGCAGGGACATTCCCGGTGTTCCAGGTGGATCCAGGGATGGGGAATCCATGGAAAATCTCGGGCAGGATCCAGGATTTATCCCAGAAATCCCAAAGAAACCAGCCCAGGGAATCCTGGAATAGTTTGGGATGGAAAAAATCCTTTGGAAAAACCACCCAGATCCCGGCTCCCGCTTCCCTTCACTCCCCACCCCATTTCCCATAATTTTCTGACAAAATTCCATTATTTTTGGCCAGAATTCCATCATTTTCAGCCAGAATTCCGGCATTCCCAGCTGGAATTCCGAGCTGCTCCAGCAAGGGGTGATTGAACACCTGGAGCTCTCCCCCACCCTCATTTCCCCTGGTTTTTGCTCAGAATTCCATCATTTTTGCCCAGAATTTCACCGTTTTTAGCCGGAATTTCACCGTTTTTAGCCGGAATTTCGCCGTTCCCGGCCGGAATTCCGGCATTCCCGTCGGGAATGGTGTCTGACCTTGAGGTGCTCGAGCATGGTTCGTTTCTGGGCGAAGAGCAGCGGGCAGTGGGGGCAGCGGAAGACGCTGACGCGCTGCGGGAGCAGGTGCTGGTCAAAGTGCGACGAGAGCAGCGGCTTGTGCGTGAACACCGTGTCACACATGGCACACTTGTAGATCAGCCTGGAAAAATCCATGGGAAACCCGTGGGAAATCCATGGGAAATCCATGGAAAACCTGTGGGGATTGTCCCAGGAAAAATCCCGGGAAAAATCCCAGGAAAAATCCATGGGAATATCAATGGGAACGATGCGTGAACACCGTGTCACACATGGCACACTTGTAGATCAGCCTGGAAAAATCCATGGAAAATCCATGGGAAACCCGTGGGAAATCCATGGAAAACCCGTGGGGATTGTCCCAGGAAAAATCCCGGGAAAAATCCCAAGAAAAATCCATGGAAATCCATGGGAATATCAATGGGAACGATGCGTGAACACCGTGTCACACATGGCACACTTGTAGATCAGCCTGGAAAAATCCATGGAAAACCCGTGGGAAACCCGTGGGAAATCCATGGAAAATCCACGGAAAACCTGTGGGGATCGTCCCAGGAAAAATCCCGGGAAAAATCCCAAGAAAAATCCATTGGAATCCATGGGAATCCCATGGGAATATCGATGGGAACGGTGCGTGAACACCGTGTCACACATGGCACACTTGTAGATCAGCCTGGAAAAATCCATGGAAAATCCATGGGAAACCCGTGGGAAATCCATGGAAAACCTGTGGGGATTGTCCCAGGAAAAATCCCGGGAAAAATCCCAGGAAAAATCCCAAGAAAAATCCATGGGAATATCAATGGGAACGATGCGTGAACACCGTGTCACACATGGCACACTTGTAGATAAGCCTGGAAAAATCCACAGAAAATCCATGGGAAACCCGTGGGAAATCCATGGAAAATCCACAGAAAACCTGTGGGAATCGTCCCAGGAAAAATCCCGGGAAAAATCCCGGGAAAAATCCATTGGAATCCATGGGAATCCCATGGGAATATCGATGGGAACGGTGCGTGAACACCGTGTCACACATGGCACACTTGTAGATCAGCCTGGAAAAATCCATGGAAAATCCATGGGAAACCCGTGGGAAATCCATGGGAAATCCATGGAAAACCCGTGGGGATTGTCCCAGGAAAAATCCCAGGAAAAATCCCAAGAAAAATCCATGGAAATCCATGGGAATATCAATGGGAACGATGCGTGAACACCGTGTCACACACGGCACACTTGTAGATCAGCCTGGAAAAATCCATGGAAAACCCGTGGGAAACCCGTGGGAAATCCATGGAAAATCCACGGAAAACCTGTGGGGATCGTCCCAGGAAAAATCCCGGGAAAAATCCCAAGAAAAATCCATGGAAATCCATGGGAATCCCATGGGAATATCGATGGGAACGATGCGTGAACACCGTGTCACACATGACAAGATCAGCCTGGAAAAATCCATGGGAATCATCGGAAATCCATGGAAAACCCATGGGAAACCCGTGGGAAATCCATGGGAATTGTCCCGGGAAAAATCCCGGGAAAAATCCAGGGAAATCCATGGAAATTCCATGGGAATATCGACGGGAAGCTGTGCGTGAACACCGTGTCACACACGGCACACTCGGAAAAATCATCCCAATTTCTCATTCCCGAATTTCCCAC